GCTATGGACCTCCATTATTTGAATGTCAGCAGACAGCAAGAAGCCTCCCAGATCTCCAGATGCATTTGAGATATCAAAAAAGTACTCCAGAGTATTGTTCAGCATGTGGGTGAGTAGAAAATGAAGGCTAATTATGTTTTGGGTGTACTATTCCTTTAACAAAATGCTATAAGGAGATTATGCAAAGAAGCATCAGATAAACTTTAGGCCAATGATACATTTCATTTCAACATGGAGTTCATCAACATCTTGTATATATTTTTTATCATTCTATAGAATAAAAGAGAGGAGATTTAAAGCAAGAAAATACATGAAATCAGCCTTTTTGATCCTGAAAAAAACCCCACAACCTTCCTGTGTAGCTTTCTGTAGCAACACCAAATCATTCCAATGGAGAGTGTCGAATATAATAACCCCTGAAAAGCCATTGCATATGTCTACTACCATAAGCATTTCTCTTTACCATTAAAAAATACAGAATTTCTAACTAAACACCATCAGGTTTTTTTTGTTGTTTTTTTTATACTTCAAGTTCAAAATAGTTTTGTTTTGAAGTACCTGTGAAATCTTGAGATCCCGACAGGATAAAGTGTCAGCTGAAAGCAGAGCCTAGAAACGTAGAGTTGCTCAACAGAAAGTCGTGTGACTCATATTGTTCATTTAGATAAGGTGTTCTAGATGTACACTGAACATCATAAAGTTGAGGAGTATCAGCTAGTTTAGACATGTCTGCTTTAGCAGCAGGGTGGAGAGAACTGGATGTAAGAACAAATTGAGAGCAAGTATGAAGAGGGGGGCAGGAAGGAAGAAAAGGTATATATGTTGCCACGCTTGCAGACACTTTATTTTTCTATTTACTTATTGGTTTGGAAACCTTCTTGGTTTGTGGGTTTTAGCGTCCACGTATATGACTCCTTTTTCATGAATCACATATAGCTGCTGACAATTAGCCTGCTGGTGTTGAAAGATAGAAGTAAAAGCCTTTTCAGGGTTCCTGAATGCATCCTAATTGTGTTTGATTGGATGGATTACCTTGTGATGTCATAGACTAGCAGTGCTCCTGCTGCTCCTCTGTAGTAAGACCTGGTGATGGACCGGAACGACTCCTGACCAGCCTACACAGAAACATGCAGAGGTCAGAGAAATGGAAAATATACCTTATTAACTCAAATGTTCACATATGTAGATGCTTTGCTTTGTTGACTGAGCTGTAAACTCATCTCTTATTGATAAGGGATTTGCATTCAGTATGATGATAAAATGTATTTAGGAGTCCCTGTATAAAGTCCAGTTCCAGGTTTTCAGTGGCTGAGGAGACAGAGCAGAGCCTGTAACTGGATACAATGGAGTTCTGTCTTTCAGTCTCCACATCCCCGTCACCAAGTCCCTACTCCTTCTCTGCTAGCATGTATGACTTTCCAGTTTATGCTAAACAAAGAAGGTCACATAAGCTGCAGCGTTGAAGAATGCAGATTAGACATGCAGCCATCATGACGGTCCATCCAGCTCACCAAGTCACCTTGGACTTTCACTTCCTCTTCCATTATTACCCCTCCATTGTCTCACCTTTCCTTTGTCTTCCTGCCATCACTCATCTTTTTACTCCCCCTCTCTATGAATCTTCCCTCTTTCCATCACTCTTTTCCCCATACCCCCCCCATCTCAAAGTCTATTCATTCTTTGGCTCCGTTCAGTTGTACATTAACAATGTTGTCTGTGTTCTTCCAGGCCACAGAGGGAAACAAAACAGCGCTCTATCCTAGCAGCTGCAAGTCCTGCTCTGCTCTGACCTCATCTGAAAAGCCAGACAGTCAGACAGACACACAAGCAGGCAGCACAGAGTCAATGAATCATTCAGCAAGTCAGAGCAGCAGGCAGCTAGTTTGTCTCATGGGGGGGAGGGGGGAGATCTGCACACCTAGTCGGTCCCCTAACCAGCTACCTGAAGAGCGAGGAAGATAATGGGCTAGTGCACCAAACATCAAACCAGCGAGTCGATGAGCAGCCAGTAAGTTTTTCAGAGAGCAGTCGAGCAGCCTGTGATGCTATTAGTGAATAAATGATAAATAAGAGTGGAAGAGAGGGAACGCTGTGTCTGTCTGCCATCTGGCCAACAGGCTTTTGTGCTGAAACACACACACTTATTCATATGGCAAGTGCAGCCCACACAATGGTCCAAATGCTTCCTCTGTTAGGTTTCTGGTGCCGGTGTATGATTGCACAAGTCCCACCAAGAAACAGAAGCTGAACCTGGCAGGGTTTCAGTTTGACCATTATTCTTCAGCACCTGGATGGTCAGGGTGTCTAACACGGTTCAAGACAGCCAGAGACACCAGGCCTGGGTCAGATACATTGGAGGCCTTTGGCTCTGATCCTCCTACTGTTTGCTTTTCGATGGACCTATAACTCCACCTGCTGGTCAGCTGCGTTACTGCGGGTAGAAAAGATTTCAATCGTAAGGATTCCCTAAACGGTTTGGTTTAGAAATACTCAGGAGGCTTTAAAAAATGGGCAGAGATGAAAATAACAAAGGGATTTTTAGATTAGAATTAAAAGAAATAAACATGCAATATAGCAGCTGTAAGCAATTTGTTTTATCTGAAGGTGAATCACTAACAATAAACTGAAGTCTAACAAAAATTCCTCTTGGATAAAAACATTAGCAAAAGAAAATTTTGCTGATTAAACCCTTAACTTTTTAGAAAAAAGCATTTTATGAGGGACAAAAACTGAGAATATATGCATGAGCGTGGGCACAAAAGTCAGGGGGCCAAACACATGAAGAACTTTGTCATGTTGGAGTTGCTGATATTTGCTTTGGGAAATTAAAAGGTCATTCAAACACACCTCATAAACGATAAAAAAAAAAAAAAGACTTTCGTCATATAACAGAGGATGGAGAACAACTGAATCCATCCATAATGTGTGTTTTTGCTTTTAACCTGTAAACAGTCGTGCCGAACGTAGAAACGACAGAGGTCTTTTAAAAACTCAAGGTGGGTATCAAAGTCTGGCTAACTCAGTTTGCTGCTAAAAATAGTTTTAGGTTAGCCTAGTAAACTAGCCCCACCCACCAGCGGCCAAAATCATTTTAGCCAGCGACTGGGTCTAGCCTCGATCAATGCCCCAGACCCTAGAACTGGCGGGCCAATCACAACGCAGAGATGTGTTTTGAAGTTCTGGGTGCAAAGCTGGCGGGGGTTTGAGGGCGTGACGACAAAGCTGTGCAATGCTGGAAAAAGCACAACATGGAAGATGACAACAACTATTGAACAGTTCTCGTTTGACTCAGCTTTGGAATCAGCTTTGGAAGGATTAGACTTGGGGTTTTCGTTGAAACGTGAGCAGGAAGAGGCTCTAAACTCATTCATTTTTAAGAAGGACGCATTCGCCATTTTACCGTCAGGCTGTTTGTTTACACTCCCCCACCAGCTTTCTGTCAGGCGTACTATGTCACAGTCAGTTGCGCTCATTGGTAAGCGAGTTGGCCAATAGGCACAGACAGAGGTGTAAAAAAAATATTAATCGGGGCCAGACTAAATTACACATTTAATCTCATATTTAGTCTGGTTTATAAGGCTAATTTTAGGTGTCAAATCCAGAATTATTACTTCTTTGTTTTAAACTTGCATCAAGCAGTGATATGGCCTCTAGTGCTGGCAGAAATTATTTAGAACTTCTTACCCAGAAAACCTATTTTAAATGTCGCTCTCATATCATAAATCATTTACAGGAATCAGAACATTCACCTATTCTTGGTTGGTGTATCTTTGCTGTTTTACGTTATGAGGATTGACAGAAGTAATTAATTATCTACCTCAGAGATATTCTTTGTAAAACAAAATCATGTTTTTTTCTTCTTGCATGTCTATCTGGTGGTGGACAGACCCATCATGCTGACAACAAGCCGAGTCCTTGGAACTGACAGTGAGGTACTGGACTCATAGGAACCCAAGTCTTCAATGGAAGAACAAACTAAATCAGGTTAAGTGGTAACTTTGATATTAGACTTTCCGTAAAGTCAAAGGCATGAGCCTGGGGGGAAGATACAACTTACCCAATCAAAGGCAAATAATGTTGATATGACTATGAATAAATCTGTATTATTTAAACCTTATAAAATACATTTAGATACATTATATTTATATACAAATAGAAGCAGAAACTAAAACATTACCAAAATGTTTAACACCTAATTTACGATATTATCGAACCAGCCTTGCAGGTTAGTAGATCAGCAGGTTGTTTATCTAGAGTCCCTTTATATGAGGCCACAATGGGGGAAAGCAGAACAACATTCAATAGATTATTTACCGTATCCCAGATCTGCAATTTGATCTGTTTGCCATCTATAGTGATCATCCTTGCTCCAAACTCCACACCTAAACAGGTGGGGGGAAAAAAACACAAAAACACAGAGGAATAAGACCTAAGTATGCTTGGACCTAAAGGAGGAATGCAGAAAAATAAAAGAAAAAGTCACAAAAATATGCACATGAAAAATATTACAAAGATATCTGAATAACTTCTGTAAAAGTTTTCTGTAAAAATGTCAGTTTAATTCATGCAACAACAAAATAACTGTATTCTGAGTGATCTGTGTTGGTTTTATGCTACTCAAAGTGCTAAAGTTGTCTTCTGCTTGTAAAGCAAATACTGGCACTGACACAGCCTGAAGAGTTGTTTAAAAATCTGTTTGCACAGGAGGTGTAGTCATGCTTTGAAAGATGAGCTCTGGTTCCCAGGCTTATATCAAAGGTGTGGTGCTTCTAATGCACATACAATACAAAATGCTAAAGGCTGCCCTTTCAATGTGGATATAACTACAATTAGAAATGAGTTGACTAAAATGGAAGGTAGCATCACATTCAGGCCTTTCATTAGAAGCTTAAAGCTAAATCGAATCAGCCATTTAAATAAAAACTTTTTAAAACACTTGCAATGTTAAAACTCTTACATTAATAATCTTTAAAGTAAAAGTATCAACAGTAGAAAATAAAAGAGAAAATATGTAAAAATGTTTTTGTTATTGCTATTCTGGAGCAGACATTTGATCAATATACAGATCTGCTTTTAAGGTCACACTCAGTGATCATCAGCATTTTAAAGATTGAGAGCATTTATATCACTTTAAGGATATAATAAAAGCCGGTCAAACTTTGGTTTGCTTTTCTTTGGATGTGATCTGATCTGTCTGAATGATCAGCACAGCTTTGAACATCTATACAAAACTTTATTTAGAGCAAATAATCTATTCTGTAACAGAAAACATATATAAATAACTGAACTAAGAGCACATTTGTCTGCCTGTTGGCACCGACTCAAATCATTTATGCACTATGTTAATAATGAAAGGGGCTTGAGTTAGCGAGTAATTAGTGATTAATACGAATCACAACACTTAGCAGACTAGAGTCATTTCCTTTCTTACCGATAGTGAGGTCGTGAACTGGCTGAAACCTCTTGTCTGTGAACTGTAGTAATAGACATGACTTTCCCACACCTACAGAAGAAGAAAGGAGGAAGACATTGATCAAAAAACATCTTCTAACAAGGGTAAACAAATTGGGAAAAACTGATAAACTACATCATAAATGCAGAATTATCGCACAATACACAGAGATCTGTTACCAGTAGTCTTTGTAAGTGAGAGTGACTTTTAAAAATAAAATCCATGCATTCTCAATGGAAACCAGCATCCACTGCAGCAGGGATCTCACACTTGTTCACCAGCTTCCTACTACTGATAAATACTATTAAGTAGAGTGACCAGCTGGCTGCTCCCGATGAGTGTTTGTCACCACTGTTTCTTTTTTCCCCCTCTCTTCAAAAAGGACATCAATGAATCTGCTTGTGATTAGCACCACCCTGCTCTACACTTCAGTTCTGGAGGATGATTTATGCTAAAACACTTCAACTACAAAGAGGTAAACTACAGCATCAATATTCTCTGCTTCGCCATAATCAGGTCATTTATTACAACACCCAAACAACACAGTGCATGACTGCGTTACATATATTTGACTACAGAGGTTGCAAGTGGGGACCTCCAAACACATTCTGCTGCAATTATCAGCTGCCTTCAGATATATGATTTCTGTAACACCTGACTATACTATAAGCAGCAGGTCATTCTTTAGAAAAGGGTCAAAAGATTCAATACTAAAGGTGCTCCCTACAAAAACAGTATATTAGCCGCTGATATGCTGAATTAAAAGATATATTATGTCCTATACAACAATATTGTCCCTTATTTAAGGCATGGCTCCTGATATACCAAGGAGGAAAGCTTTGTGATTGCAATATAGCATGCATTGATTGATACTCAGCAGCTCTATCAGAAAACAAGTATTATCTATATTTAAAAGTGTGTGGGTGACATGATGGGGAAAAAGGTGTGGATAGACTTGTAATGAGTCTGAAAAGGAGAGACACACATGGAGGTGATAGAGCAACATGATGCAGCTCCTCTGTGGTTTCCAAGGATCACAGCTGCCAGGCAGTGGTGTTGCTAAGCAGGCGAAGCTTGATGACAATGATAAGGGACACGGTGGGATCCACTAAGTCAAAGTATAAAATCATCAGCTCTATCAGTCTTATGTGGATGGTCAGTCATTATGGGACATTCTTCTATAGTTGGGGGTTGAAAACTTCTACCGTGTTCTTCTCAGCTGATCGAACCAGCAACATTTTTTATCAAACTATTCTTGTGTCTTTTCACGTTGCATTTCTGGCCAAGCAGGAAAGTATGGACATTAAGAGAACCTAACAATGAAAGTCTGCTGGGCTGTGATTTAGCTATAAAAGCTCCTTTACCCCGATCCAAGCTGTGGCAAGAACACATCATCATACCACACCAAAAAAGGGTCTGTGGAAACACAGGAAGATAAAAGGGAGTTTTTTGCAGTTTTAGAGCTCAGACCGAGGATTTTTACTTTTATATAACACAAAAGGCAAATGCAAAAGCCACGTGCAGAGCATATCTGGACACATTAGCTTAAAGCATCATGCATGGGTCACTAACTGGGCCATAACTTGATACTGGTACAAAGATCAGATCTACTCTGTAAGGAGCAGAAGGAATAAAAGGTCTAACAATTCAATTTAGCAGATGTGTATTCTATGGATTTATTATGCCCATTTATAGATATTACAAAATAAATATTAAAACCAAGTGTATTAATGAGATCTCGCAGCCATATGGATGATTTTGATTATATATATATATATATATATATATATATATATATATATATATCTTTCATGCTTTAAATTATAACTTTAAATGTTTGTGTCATTTTATTTTTTTCTTCATGGATATACTGAGAAATCTGACCTGCCTTTGCCTTGAAATGACGTGTTACAAAAACCGTGGATATAAACGAAATAAACTGAAATTGTTGTAATCAGACATCAGACTAAATAAATAATACCTTCTGACATTTAAATTCAGATTTCAAACCCTTTTGGGAGCAAATCTAACATATTTTAAGAGACCCCGGTATTTTAAGCATACTAGCTCGGATCACTAGAAGACAATTGTTAAGCATCTTTTTGATCAAGGATGATTAACACCACAGCGGTAAGACCGAGTTTGAGATGTTCATGGATAGCAGGGGAAAATAATCAGCAGCGTATTCACCCACTTAAAACCTGTGAAATGTCTTTTTAAAATAAAATCTTGGAAGAAAGAAGACAATCAGCTTCTGCTTCTCTGATGCTAACCCAATGGTTTACTGTGGCGCCAATATGATTTTATGTTTTTCACTGGTTTGTGTGCTAGGACTGATTAAAAAAACCCTAAAACAAAGTTACCTAAGGAATTTAACACATAAAGCTTGTAAAGTTTTTATTGGCTGTTGTTCCCCATGAGCCCGCCCCTTACTGCTGAGATAAACTGGCTCAGTTTCTTCAGTCTTGGGACCAGAGTTTAAGCAGTGGAAACACAAAGAAACCCAAGCGCTGGAACTAGTGATGCACAGATACCAGCATCGTTATCGGCCTGATACCAGTGTGAAGGACTTGTTTCTGGAAAAACAAGCCGATACTCTGAACCGATACCACTTCTATATTTGACAAAGATCAAGGTATCAAAACAATTAAGTTTACTCTAGCTGCAGCTGTCAAAGGGCAGTTCCCTGTTGGAAAAAAAAGCCCCTCTCTACTTAAAATGTCAGTAATCATACTCGATTAGAAGGAAATCTGGTATCAGGATATGCCTAACTGGAACCAGCATGGTAGAAAATATCGAGAACTGGATCTTTTAATAAAAAATAAATTAACTCATGTCAAAATAAAACACAACGTATGTGGAAAATTTAAGTAAAGCAAACATTTGCTCTTCACACAAGGACATTCAGTCAGTAGGATTTACCATTTTCCATAACCAAGGCTCAAATGTAGTCATAGCAACTACTCCCTTATTACAAAATCCTTACAAGCTCTCCAAATACCTGGACACATTTGTAGAAGTGAGTGCTTTGCTTATGGACATTCCCAAACAACCATTTAAAGAGCCGCTTTTACATAATGTGTTGACAGCCTTAAACAAAAGATCCATTTAGGAAGACATTAGAATATAAAATAGTTTTCAGTTGAAGTAAAATGCTCATACTCAGCAGCTGAAACAGTGTCAGCCAGTAGGAGTGTTAGACGGCTAAAGAGTTTGAAAATCAAATTGTGACTAATGTGCTGTACAAAAGAAAATAAAGGCATCAGACGAGAAGGAGGGTGATTAACAGCTGTGTTGTTTGGGCTTATTTTAGATACGTTGCTTTTAACTAAGTGGCAGCCTGAAAATAATGGGGGGGAATTCAGATTTAATTAAGTCCCATTTACAAAACAGGGCGTTTAAGATAAGAGCTTAAATGGTTCACAAGCTGATGTTATGCATTAAAGCTTGTATCAAGAACTGGTTCATTCAGGTGGATGTGTCAGTTTTCAGCAGGCCTATGTGTTACTGCTCTGCTATGCAACCTGAAGCTTAGCAAGGTCAGCAGACTGCATCGCAATCCCTGCTGAGAAGTCCAGCATGCTGTCAGTCCAGATAACACATTCTCATCTCTGTGCTTTAACCAAGCAGCCTTTGACCAAGTCTCACAAACTTGAACAAATGGAAACACACTCATTAGGGTCTACATTTATTCTCTACATGTTTTTATTCTCCTCTACTATTCTCAGATGACATTATAATAACATAGCCCTCCTGATTTTCAGGCTGGGCCTTCGGAAACCACAAAGGAAGTGAAATCATGTGACAACTGTGAACCACATAGATGACTCAGTAGAATATCCATTTCTTGACAGTGACTTACTTCCCTTTGGAAAATGACGTCTTGCTAAACGGAGCTTAAAAATAGCCGGAAACAAACATTAGAAATCATATCGGAAAGTGATAAACTGTCTAAAATGTTCCCTCTCATACTTTTTATTTAGATACTAGTGGAAACATACAAAAAAATTTGTCAGGGAGAGATTGATTATTGTAAAGTGAAGTGAGATGATTTGAAATTCAAATTTTGGTTAAGATTTTAAATGATTTCCTTCATAAATGACACCCTTTAAAAGTGGTCTAATAATATTTGGGACAATTCCTGTACCATTGCTACTCCAAAACAAAGACATCTACCTTTACTAAACGTGCAAATTTTACAACCAGAACTTCATCAAATCATTAAAACAAAAAAAGCTTGGGGACAAAATGTTGTCGAAGTTAATCAAAGTCAAGTTTAAAATGTCAATATCAAGAAATGTAAGTAAAGCTGGAGCTACATAAAGGGTCAAAATAAACAAATGTCCAATATCCAAGAGTAAAAGATGAATGGGAGGATGGATTTGGGTAGAAAGCATAGCTACAGACTGACATGAACCAGTTATCTGTGCATTTTTTCGAATAATCGATTAAAATCGATTGCCAAAGGTTCCTTAAAGAAGATTTTTTTTTACGAAATTAAACCAGGGGGAACTAAAGATTTTCCACTTTAGGAGTTCTGGTTAGATAATGGATTAATCCGATTCATTGTTTCAGCCATAGTAGCAATCCACCTGCCCTGTGCCCTTCAGACTCTGCCACCGACCTAGACTCACCTTAAGTGCGCAGGCAGGCAGGTGAACACATGCCCTCCTGCCCAGCCACCAGATATAGAGGGTAACCTTTCAATGAAGGGGAGGAGTGTCTAGGTTTGGAAGGATACCCAAAAGAGGCAGCTTCTCTGCTGTGCTGGTGTATAGACCCCCACCTCCTGCCACAGATGCAGATAGATCAGAGCATCATCTTACTGGGTCAATCTGATAATTTACATATTAAAGAAAGATATAGACGTCACCTTCCAATATGGAGGGGTGAGCTCAATTAGAAAAGCGGCAAAAAAAGAAAGTATGGGTGTAGCAGATTAAAATCATTTCGCTCAAACCCTTAACCTGAAATTTTGTGGTAAGGGCATAGAGCTTGGAATCCTGAGGCAGTGAGTTCGAAACCCACTCCCACAGTCTGCCAATCTGGGTCTCTGAGCAAGACCCTTAACCCCACACTGCTCCCTGAGAGCCCCATGATGGGAGCCCACTGCTCCCAAAGGGGGCTGGATTAAATGAGGAGAGTGAATTTAAGCTGTACTTGTGACAGTGTAATGACAATAAAAACACTAGAAATGGAAAGAGGACTGACAAGAGTTTTTTCAGCCTGTTTGGTTGATAAAGTCCCTCCCCCACATGTTGCTGTACAATGGTAGGTCAAAGAAGTTGCTGTATTTGAGTAAAACCCTGATAATCAGGAAACGAATGGAGGGTTACCTTTAAATGTTACTGAGGTAAGACTCCAGACAGAAGGGCCTTAAACCCATGACCCACTTGGAGCAGAATTCCCATTTTTCTGTAGAATAGTTCAATCAATAACTACTTAGTTCTGAATGCCCTAGCTGCTGCCTTACATAATAGAGCAAAGTCTCTCCTCCACGTTGGATGGAAGCCTAACGGGTGATACACCAAGCGTGCCGTTTGATATTTGCTGGATACAAAAAAAAAAAAAACATAATGTAAGGGGGGACAAAAAGACCCAGGCCATTAAGGACTATTTAATGCCTCTATGTAAGACACAAACAGAACACCAACTGACAGTAATGATTTATAAATACTACCCGTCAGAAAAATGTTAAGAAAAGCAGAGGATTAAGACCACTGAAAAAGAACAATTTATTTGATAAAAAAAAATTAAGTTCACAGAAGAAATAATCATATCGATGAGATTACTGAACATTACGGAAACTTAAAGTAAAAGTATATATACAATTCAAAATCTTCTTGCTAAGAAATGCGTGTTGTGTCCAAAAATGGTGCATGAGAATAAAATTGTAGAAAAATAAATAAATAAAACAAATACAAAAAAGAAACGACAACAACAAAGCAAAATAAAAATTGTGGGAGTCTTCCTCATTCTCCAAGTATAATGACTGTTGAAAAAACATCAAACTGGATCAGTTATCTGATGGAATTTGGTCGGCATTCCTAGCCGATCCTGTTGGACAACATGCAGGTAAAGGGTTTGTCTCATGGATGGTATGGGGCCTCTAGATGCGAGTCTGTAATCTGAGGGATGTCTAAGGACTTTAGGGAGCTTCTGTACATTTGACATCAGGGGTCAGCCAAACTGCATCACTACTGGGTCAGCAAAACTTTCTTACTACTGATCCTTTTATTTATTCAGCAGCAAAGCTTTGCCGGCTTTAGGATTACTAGCAAACAATAACCTTTAAAAGTCAGAAAAATATCCCAGAATTCCCCCTAGCTCCGTGGACCTGAGAGAAGCAGAGTGTTCCCCTTCCCCACATGTTGCTTTACGCTGCTGCTAAGCTGCCTCAGAGACAACTACTTAAATTTTTCCTGACAAAACATTTAAAATTTGCTGGTAAAAAATGGATGATACATTTTGCTTTTAAAATAGGGCAGATATTCAGAGTAATTAATAAGCTATTACTAGTAGATTGTAATTATGTTACTCCATAAAGAGCAACACTTCACAAAGCCTAATATTCAGTAAAATTGGTTTCAAAAGCTGATTATTACTAATGCTATCTAATAAAAAATTTTTTAGATGATTTCAGTTGTAGTAAGAATTGAGTTTGATATCAGTATACGAGTTTTCTTTTTAAACGTGTTATTTTAAGAAATCAAAAAGACCCAGATACAGAGAGCTTCTGCTATCACAATCACAGCTCCATATCATAATCCATTAGTAAGTTAAAGTTAAAAACCTTACAAATTTAAACTTGGCTCTCAAGGGCTCATCTAAAAATAATATACTAAACACAATAATTAAAAGAGTGTTTTGCCAAATTAAATTCAAAATCTGTCCAATTCAACATACCGGTATTAAAACATTAAGAATACTTTAAAATTTTATTTCTCGCTTAAAGAAAGAAACTCCTTAATGTTATATAACTCGGCAGAGAAAATATATCTGGCACTGACAAACCTGAAGTCAGGCTGGGGTCTTGGCAGCAGCTCACCAAGGTATTTATTCCTAGAAATTAAGAGCCAGCACAACATGATGCTGTTTTGCAATAATCCTGAAGTAAACATGTTGTCCATCACCAGTCATCTAACTGGCTAAAATTAAGAAAATGGCTTTAATAAGTTCTATAACTGATTTCACTTTAGTTCCATTAATTTGTACACTTTGATTGTCAAGCTTTTTCATATGCCAATCAAGGGATAAATTGAACACTGGGTTGTCTAAATTATTTTGTTATTAAACAGCTATTTAATCAAGGTAATCAGTCTTATTGAATTGTCCCTATTTAAGATACAGGAAAGTTAGAAAATGCACCTGCTTGTATAGAGTACCCCCATCCCACATTAATAAACTGATAATAGTGGTCTTCTCTAATTACAGAGTGACAGATCAAGATTAAACCCAATCTCAATCTCCAAAATATCAGAAACTATAAAGAATTTAGCTATTTAACGATAAATATAATATAAAATAATAAAAAATAAATGTGTCTCTACGCCATTTCTGTGGAATAGTTTAGGCTTTAGCTCCAGGCCTTCAACACTATGTGGCAAAGCTAACGTCAACCATTACCGGTGGCGAATATACACCAGATATATATAAGTAGTACATATTTTTTTTGGTACGTCTTGAGATCCTATAAAATTGTAATTTGCTGTCGTGACAGCTGTGGCAGTATATTTGCCAAAAGCTAGCAGTTAGCGGGTTTAGCTAACACCCCCACCCTCGACGCAAACGGACAAAAGGCCAAATATCCTCCGGTGTAAACAACCAAAAAGCTCCAATAAAAAGCAGGTGATATGTGGTCACTTTTCCTAAGCTGTCAGTGTGTTTATGGTACATTCTGGTATGTTAATAAGAGATAATTTGAGCTGTCATCCCACCCCTTGGGTCTCCGCTTTTACCACGTCATTGGACTATCCAACACTGCGGAAACACAACGCTAAGTGCTAGCTGGAAGCTAACTGGGAGCTAACTGCAGCTTACCCGTATCCCCGATGATGATGTATTTGAAGAGATACGCATACGCCATGGCCCCTTGTTGTGGCAGTCAGTCGTCTGAACCGTTACACCTTCGTAAACCCAAACAGGAGCCGTGTGAAAACAGAAGCTATTAGCTTGTTAGCCTGTTTTTTTCTGTATCGGTGTTCAGGAAGGAACAATAAACAGCCTGAGCCTCGGCTCTACGTCACAAGGTCCGCCCTCGCCACGCTACAATTTGATGCCTTCACGGTATGCTCGGAAACTTGCACTAAAAATGTATGCCAATGCATGAGGATAAAATCAAAGAAGTAGACTAAATTAAGTGGTATATCGCTCTTTAAATTGCTTAAATATAAACATCAATATTCAAAAGTTTCACTGGTGTTAGCAGAAGACTTCAACAGTAAATATATTGTTAAAAGAGTGAGTCGTTCAGCATCTTTTACACGTTGCCATGGTTACTGCATTCCACAAGAGGATCCTATTTTCTAATGTTTGCCTTTTAAGCCTTTCTCGTGTGAAATACAAAAACACAAACTTTAGAAAACAAAACAACCAAATTCCAGAGGACATCCTGGTATCAATGTATCAAAAAAAAATGTATTATTTATTCCATACGATGTAATCTATAGAACATTGCCAAGTTAAATAAGAAATATCTGATCTCCTCTTAAAATATTTCTGTTTCCAACACAATCAGTATCCAAACCATAGGTCACAAAGTGAAGCATATTGTGCTGCTGGGCATCTCACTCACCCCTTTATGAATGACACATAGCCTATAGGAGTAGACTGAAAATAGATTTTTTTTTTTTTTAGCATTAATTGTGTAATGGCCACTACGGCCATCCTCCCTGATCCTTTTCTATCTGACCTGTGTGCTCATTCATAGTCCTTTCCTTATGTGGGACCAGATCTAACAGTGCAATAGACTACTGGATTCTAAGTCTGTAGCTGTGCATTGAAAAGAGCAGAATAAAATTGTGCTTTTAAAGAGGAGAGATAACAGTTCTCATCCTCCATCCCTCTCCAATCGGTGTGTGACTTTCCCCTATATAGACCATTTGAAAAGGGCTTGGGAGAATGACCTCAGAGTGAGTTTCCATGACAATTATTAATTAAAACCAAAGTGGACATCCAGAACAGCTACATTACACGGTCAGTAATAACGTCATAATAAAAGGGTACTCCCTTTCCTCCCTGACATTTCAGCAATTGCAGGAACATTTCCTTCATTTCTGGATTTTCTTCTATTTCAAATGAAAATTTTATAACAGAATCCAGTTGATCAGAAAATGTTTTTGTTATCCTGATTGAAATAAAACCATAAATGTCCTTAAAATATTCTTCCTAAAATAATTTATGCAGGCTGCCAATTAAACTGCCAGGTTTTTCAATGTGTCTATATATATTTTTAAATACTATAATTAAATAATTTAAGAAGCAAAGATATTCCCTGCTAATGTTTATCCTATGATATTTAAATTGAGATGAGATCTAATAATTCTTTAACAAACCCATATTTAAACTGGTTTTAGAATTAACTGGAAATAACATATTGTTATAAAATATTTTTAAAATTGTCAGACAGACTTAGGAGGGTTTATGCTCTGGTTTTGCTCCTTGCATACTGACCATACTTAATTTTTTAAAGATTATTTTTTATTTTCGTTAGGAAAGGGCCTGAAGCACATCTTTACAGAATTTCACAATTATTTTATATATCCCCCCCCCCCCCTTTTCCCAAATGTTCTGCTACATAAATACAAAGTAAATTACAAGAACTATACACAATAAGCAACTAACAAGAAACACACACATATACTGTATCAATCAACATTAAGTTTTTTTCTTCTTTTTCATCCCTCCCTTTCTCTTCTCACGTGAGACAAAGAAATTACACAACGATCCCCTCACCCAAAAAACAAAACAATAAAACACACAATCTTAAAAGTGACAATACACAGTGAAAAGTTAAAAGAGAACAACTTAGTACAATATTCATTCATAAACAGTCTGTATTCATATCGATTCAATAAATGAAAATAGTTAAAGCTCTAAGGTAGTTATGGTTTTTCTGTCTCCAGAAGTACAGGTGCCCATATTTCTTGAAACATTTTACCTTTAAACTGTAATTTCACTATATATTTTTTTATTCCCATCACCTCTTTAATGCTTTCCAACCAAATATGTCTGCTTAGGGGTTGGGGCTTTAACTAGAAAATTTTTCTTTTTTTTCTCTTCTTTTTGCTACTGTAGTAAGTATTTGAATTATTTTGTTATTTTTAGCAGACAGTGTTTTGGGTAACATCCACCAGCAAAAAATATTTGCAAATCTAGATAAAGTTTTTCTTTACATATAATTTCTATACTTTTCCTTACATCGTCCCAATATTGTTTAATTCTGGGACAATCCCAGAATACATGCCAATAGCTTCCTGTCAGGAAGCGAACCTCCAGCACTTGTCAAACATTTTACTATAGTTTGATGTGTTGCTTGGTAAAATAAAAAAAATGCATTTTTGATTTCCATTCAAAGTCTCGCTATGAATAACTGCTCAACATTGTATGTCCCATTTTGAAGGATTCCTCCCAGCTTTCTTAGACAAACTTTATTGTCATTTTGTAAACACAGAGTGTATACAAAACAAAACATGGACGCACACAGCTTTTCAACAGTGAATGAGCAGCTTACAACAGTGAAATGAACATTACCATTTATAAAGTGTGGCAGTGATCTTAATAGACTTAGACAACTTTCATTGTTATTTTGTATACACAGAGTGTATACTAAATGCAATTTCGTTTTATAAAGCTTTCAGACAGTGAACGAGCAGCAGCTTAGCGGTGAGATGAATGTAAACAAACCAGTTTAAAGTTATGGTGTAAAAGGCATTGATATGGAAAGGTTTTGTGCAGTGCAAATAAATAAATATGTTGCAAATTGCGTTGGACCAGGAAAAAGAAAAAGAGAAAAAAGGTTTCATTTTTTCAAAATCTATAATTAAATGTTTTTGGACATGCTTTTCAACATCCAAGCATAAAATCAAAGTGACACCAAAGAAGAGCTTCTAAAGGTCAAGGTAGCATACAACCTCCCTACCATAGCCTACCACTTTGCTGACCTCCAACAATAAAAATGGTTATGAATTCCTTTTCATTTATTTTTCACTCACATTGCAGTATATTTTTTTATTATTATTTATTAACACCATCCTTTTTCGTATTGTTTTACTATTTTTGTTAATTGAGAATGCTTTCTGAATTTTTCCAGATCTATATTTTTAATGAGACTGCTAAAATAAGTGGAGGTGATTTACCCTTTCAGCAAATTCTCTTAGCTATACAGACCCTAAGTTAACCATATATGGGTAACATTTTGGTCTTTCTGTTTTAATCGGAAAGTTAAACATTGAATAAAAAGAATCACAGATTTTTAAGTCTAGTAAGTTTGGGGATTCAGGTCTTCATTCACCCTTCTTTGCTGGTGGTGGGCTGACCCGTGTTGCTACACACCTTAGAACATTTCTCAATGAAGATGACTAGCGTATATATAGGGAGGCGAAGGAGCTTCTCTCTTTGCTGGATGATTCCCCCTGATGGTATTTTAGCCAAAGACCTAAACCAGGAATATATTTCTTGTTGAAATTTGTCTTTTTAGGAATCTTTTTTAATGTGGATTCTATTATTGTTCCAAGGAACTAGTGAACCTTGGTTCCTCTCCGATCTTCATGAAAAAGTTCTAAGTATGTGCAGCACTTCTCAATCTTCCTCATCTGCCTGCGTGCTCCCCAAAGCAATGTCTCTTGCAAGTAGCAATGGTACATTCTGCAAAACCCACAAAATCAAACCCCTACAGAGCAGGGCTAATTCCACTTAATCTCTCAAGTAATCAGTTGTCATCAACCAACTCCTTCCTGACCAGTCTGCTTTCCCTCCTCAGACCAACCAGAATGTCAAACTGATGTCCTGCAGTTCTCCGCTTCCAGATTATTGTTGCTTTTAGTAAATGAAATGTTAATGGTTCTCCATGTGATTCTGCATCTGCACAAAAAAACTATGAACCAACATGTCATTTTCAGATGTTTTACCCATATTGACAAGAAATATAGAAGGATCAAAGGTTTGTATGACCTCATGATATTATTTATTGATGCATGCCAAACTAAATCCACATTTTCATAAAAATAGCAGAAAAACGTAATCCTGCAAAAACAATATGAGATAATAGGTCGTATGGAAATGTGCATTTTCTGTTATATGGGAAAATTAGTGGAGGTACAGCAAAGTCTGATCCTTTGAGCATTTTAGTGTAACATCAAATGTATGGAGAATAGGGGGGGGTATCACTCCCCAATCAGACCAAAAGCTCCATGGTAACTCTTCTGCTGCCTACATGATTTAATTAATTCCACATCTGACTGACTGTTTTTCCGCTGATATGGAGCATCACTCATCAGCGGATCTGGTCTTTTTTCTTTTTCTTTATTCCTTATTAAAATTCTACCCATCTATCAAATCCTTTATATTTTTAACAGACATTGTATAAGCACTGTATGGCATCAAGTATTTTTGGGTGGATATAGTTAACAGTGGGTAGCTAAGAAAAACATGAAAAATGTCAGCAAGGAGCTTGTTTTAGTTTGTCACTGTATTAGATTTGGATTTTAATTTCTATTTATTTGCTCCATTTTCTGTAGCCACTTTCGTGTTCAAAGTCCTCCTTATATTATCTTATGTTGATTCCTTACACTTAATTTGATCATTTACTGCTGCTTTTTATGCACCTAGAAATAGACATAAGTTTCAATAAGCGGTTTTTCAGTCTTACTGTCATGAGAGCCATTCTCTTATTATAATCCTGTCTATTTATACACTAAAAAGACACCTACCATCCTTTTGAGTAGAAATAAACCTGCATTCTGTTGATTGACCAGCAGAGGGTGACATTTTCTTAAGAAAAAAATAATTGACTGGACAAAGTTCAAGAACAGTTATCATACTTCATGCTTGCTGATTATACCAACTAAATGTGATTTTGAAATAAAAAAGTTTGCAAATGTTTCTCACATTTTAGATGCGCCCTTACAGAGTCCCTGTGTGTCTATTTAGGACTAAAGATACATTTCATAATGGTTCAGTCTTGCACCTCAGCTCTGGGATTGCATGCTCTGTTTTTAGGTCTGCTGTAAGGAAACGAGGGATCTTGCCTTCATTTTCTAATGGCTCCAAGGACAGTATCCAGATAGAGAATGTAGGGCAATTAACATAACAGGCCTGGAGGATGGGGATTAAAAAGAAAGAAAGGAACCAAAGAAAAAGAAGAACAGTTAAATCTTCCAAGCAAAACAACTAAAAAGGAAAAAAAGTAGCCTATTCTTTTGAATGTTTTTCAGTCAGGACCTTTGCCAAAGGTGTGTTTTAGCAATTTGAGAATTTGTTTTTGTGTCCATCTTGAAGTCATCAGGGTTGGAGAACAGTCAAGCCTTTCATTCTGTACGTTCTGCTGCCTTCTGTTTTCTCTAGCATTGCCATTTCCTTCACCCATGGGGTGGGGGGCGAGGGGGGTGTTGCATGTGGCCTACAGTAGAAACACCAGCATGACCTTCCTGCCAGCATTCCCACACAGAGACATACAAAATACTGGCTGGAGACCTTAAACAGGTTAAATATAGACAGCGAACAGAAAATGTTGATGACATGGTTGAAACAAATTGGTTAAAGATTGTAACAGATCATTTGTTTCACCTTGAAGTTCTTATCTGCCTTTCCTTTGGATGAAGGCTGCAGTGGGCAGACACACCTGCACCCTCCAAAGAAACAGAGAAAGAGAGGAAGGAGAGAAAGATAACAGCAGAGTAGAGAGTGAGAGAGAAGAGGAGGAGCAACACAGTGGAAAGAGAAACAGCCAGACTGCTCTACTCTCATCTGTTAGTGGTTATGTGGACAGCAACTAAAGAGAGGTAAGGAGGATTAAAAATATTTTAAAAAAGGAAAGAAAGTGGAGTGAAACTAAATTAAAGACACAACGAAGAGAAAGAAAAACATTACTCATTAGAGGGATCTGTTCAGCAGGCTGAAGAAACTTGACTTTGTCTCCAAGTGAATGATCTTAAACCAGCGTCTCTGAGAGTTTACTGGGAGCACAGACTGGTCTGAGAGTGAGGGAGCTGTAAGGTACCATGGCCGACAACATAAACGAGGAGTCTGATTATGTCCCTGGGAAAGATGAGCTGGACTGGGGCTACGAGGAAGGTAAGCAGGAGTCCTCATGCATGTGAGGGGATGCTGAGAGTCAGAGTCATGTGGGTCTGACATCGGACACTGAAATATGTTTTTGAGGACTCTGAACATGAAACATTTTGGAAAGTTTATATTTATTATTTGCAGCACTGCCTTCATGTGTACATGGATTAAATTCACACATCATCTCATGTTTGAACTGCCTCTGTGGCTCTCAGTTCCTATGTGTGAAATAGGCAGACTCATTCTTTAAGTTACCTGTAAGGTTAGTCACTTTGTAATAAGACATGTTTCAACTGTTGGAACAGAACTGAGAGCACCTTGCAAAAGTTTTTAACACCCCTTGAACCACTTCACATTTGACACTGCATCCAGACACTGCATCCAGAAATTATTATATCCTTTTGCTTGGTATTTTAGAAAACGGATAAAGATAAATTATTATAGTGTATTTACAAGTAAAATCTGAAAAGTGTGGAGTGTTTTTTATTCAGCCCTCTTTAATCAGATAGCTCTGAATGAAGTCTGTTGGCTTGGTTTGCAGGGTCATGATTAGAAACATTCAACACAATAAAACGCTGGAACGTTGCTGTAAAAGGTTTCAGTGTTTTCAATGGTTGGGGAGGAAAAATAAAACCGTCATTTAAACATAAACTGATACAGGCAGGAAAAAGCATATTCAATATTTTATCAAATATAGTATTAATCATTTCAACAGATATGCAATGAGTATTAAATCAAATTCAAAAGTTGGATATTAGAGTTTCATTTCTATAGCAGCACTTTAAAAGGAAAGTAGATTGGAGGCAAGGTCCCAAAAGGCGGCAACAAAATATAGAGTCTTGACCTGACAGTTAATTTAAGTACGATGGAATTTAAAAGCATCGTTGAACAGAGATTAAAGGGAGGTCAGCAAAAACAATAAGAAAGAAAGAAGGAAGGAAGATGGTTTAAAGTAAATTGACAGAAAGTTGGAGAAATTAGGAATGCAGAAAGAAACAAGAAAGCGAAAGTAGTTCTTTAGAACTTAGTTTCAGACACACTGGATTGAATTACACACCGTTGATGTTAAAAAAAGCAGATTTCAGATAGATTTGACTATAATGAAAAATTAGAACCAGTGGAATGTGTTGTGACGAATATTATGTCCATTTTCACTTACACTCCTTATCTAATCAATTGGCTTACATGCAAGAAAATATCTAAATGAAAAGTGA